ATCCACCATATTAGAATCATGAATCGGTGTGCCAAGGAGCATAGGTTGGTTCCCAAATTCCATGGGGTTAAGTCCCATCCCAAGCGCCAGAGAATGTTCCTCCGACAAAATGGCGGTGGCAGCAGTACCAAGACCAGGCACAGAGTTCAAGTGCAGACTCTCCTCCTGTTCCACTGTCAGTGCGGGGATGTCAGACCCAGCGGTGCCCCCGAAACCCAGACCAGGAGTGTGGTCAACACCTGCCACTGGATCAGAGTAACGCCGACCAGGTGCACGACGGCGACCTCTTGGTTGGGGAGGTGCTGTAAATAAAGTATCGAGACTTGGTGCCGGCCCAGTGCCCATCCATTCTCCGAATAGCTGCTCTGATTGGGTTCTCATAGTAGCGGTAACAAAACTACAATCATTTTCCCCATGGCCAAGACGCCCACAAGCAAAGCAGAAGTTTGAGAGTTTCTCATAACAAAATGCAATCCATAGTTTGGAATGATCTGACCGTGGTAGACCAAACCCAGGTGGAAGGGGTTTACTTATGTCAACCAAAACACGGACTCGGAGAAAGCCCCGAAGACCACCTGCTTGGACTGGGTCCTTTACTTGCAAAACATCACCAATAAAATGCCCCAGAAGATTAGCTTTTGCAATGGTCATATCTTTCAAAGGAACACCATGTGCTTGAACCCAAAAAGGTATACGGTGAAATTGAATTTCTTCAATAGCCAAATCAGATGGCCAAGGTTGAATGGAAGAAGAGAACCCCATAACTGACCAAGGCCCGGTATCCAGGATCTTTTTGGCCATTGTCGCATCACTGACAGTAATAGCAAAGATTTTATCCTTCACCTCCACTATTTTGGCTTCACCAAAACCGCTCCAGGCCTTCTTGAGAATTCCCTTTGCAGCTCCCCTGTTTGGGGGTTTGTCTGCAATGATGGTTCCAGCTAACATAGTCCCCGCCTGGACCCCACCAAGGTCAAGACAATCCCATTGTTGAAGGAGCTGGTCAGCACTTAAGGTATTCTCTGTCATTTTGAAAAAAGAAAAAAGTGGGTCGATGGTGAAAAAAACAGGAAGGGATAAGAGGTACAAGTGAAGGGAAAGAGTTTTAAGGAAAAAGGGGAGGGTAGTTTAAAGAGCTGAATTGTGGTTTGAGGGTAAAGATGGTGGAGAAAAAAGTAAAGAGTGAAAGGGTAGGTGAGGACTTGGACAGAAAGAAAGGTAGACGTGGAAAGAGATGAGATTTGGAACTAGAAGTTGTCTAGGAAGAACTCAAACTAAGTTGGAAAAAAGAAGAACAGTAATACCACGAAGGATATGGAAACTCTCAGGTAGAGAGGGAAGCTCTCAAGAAGAGAGAGATTTTCGAAACTCTTAACCTAAAACTTTTTAGAGTTGCCAAAATGTTTGGTTAAAAGCGTTGAAAGAAAGGGGAAAAAAAGAAGAAAAAAGGAAACACGTGTTGTTGTTTAAGGAGCCCACGTCATTGTTGAGGAAGGATGGCTCCTGATATGTCAGGAGCCAAGCATTGTCCAAATGAGAAACCGCCAAGATAGACATTGAAAAAAAAAAAAAAGAAGAAGAAGAAAGTAGCCGCACCCATATTCCCAAAATGAGGGCCCAGTGAGAAAGGTGTGCTCAAAGTGAGAAAGTTTTGTTGATGGGCTATAGGTATATTCTTTAAATTTCCAACCAAAAAAAAAATCTTTAAATAAACATTAAACCTACCTTAGCTATAGGTCTATTCTTTAAGAGCACTTCCACCCATTTGCCATGGCAAAGGGTAAGGGTAAAGGGTAAGGCAAGGGCTATTACTATTCACGTAAATAGTGGTAGCCCTTACAAAAGGTTATGGTGTTTCCATCCATTGTCATGGCAACCGAAGGGCAACCACTATTCACATAAGATATGATGAGAGAAATTTGTATAGAGTTTTGGTGTGGGGAAGTGAAGAATATGACTAAGTACTTATTTTTTAAAAATTCTGAAATTTTTGGTATTTTTTTAGATTTAAATTTTTTTTTTTTCATTGCTGACATCAGCAAACTCAGGCAACAGCCCATGCTATTCTTGCCTTTGGGCTGGCCTGGTTTGGTGGGACCCATGATCTACCAGGGCTGTAGAAGCCCGCTGGAACTACAAATTGGGGCTAGGCCCCTTGTTGCCCGGGTTGGGGGGACACCAGTGGAGATGCTATAAGGAAGGCAAAAAAAAGCCTACCTAGGCTAGGGTTGTAGCCTTGTAGGTAGCTTCGTCCTTGATCCCACATGATCTCACTAAGACCTAGTATAAAAGATCCATCTAGATCTACCTTTTCAAAATAAGAGATTTTAAAAGTCGGACCAAAAGGACTAGGTATAAACAAAACCCAGTACAAAAATTGGGGAGAAGCAAAACCCAATATAAAATTGCGGAAAAAAATCTCTTTACAACATGACGGAAGAGAGAGTCGCCCAATTTATTAGTCGAAGGGGTTGGTTCCAAGGGAAAATTCCTGGAACCAAAGGGGGTTGCAGAGAAGAGAGACCAAGAAGAAAAGAGAAGAAGGATCAAGAGTTCCTTATAGTTTAGACTATGCTTATATTAAAATTATGAAAAATGTAAGGACCAATAACATTGACCAGTCAAAAGCAAACATGTGCAGGGCCACGCTCACACTAGCTTTTATCACATTTTTTTGTTTAAATTTTAAATTAGCGATAAAGCTTTTATCACATTTAGCTCATAAGGTGAGTAGAGATTTCCATATTGTTCTAGAATACAAAAAGTAAGATGTTTTAAATAAATAAAAAAGTCAGTGAGATTGTCAGAGAATAGACAGAAGATGTGACCAAGTTGAAGAAAATCGATTAATTACGATCAGCTGTAGTATTTAACATATTCATCATCCACTAGATACCCAAAAGACATATTACATTATGTTATTAATTATAATTACAAAATAATAAACTAAATTCATGAGCCCTCAATTTTGGACTCAAATTGAAACACTATTAGGCACACCCCTACAAGTGATCCCAGGTTCAGAACTTGGAGCAAGCAGCTCGTAAGGCAAAACACCAGCCCCGCACCTGTGCTTAAGCTTTGGATCACTGTTCCTCTTTTCGATCTCCTTCTCAATCTCTATCATCTCTGCAGAAAACTTGTAAAATGCCTCAACAATTTCTGCATCACCTGACCACGTAGAGGGCTGCTGCCTCTCCCCAAGATACTCTTCATCTGGTGAATGTGTGGACAATATGTCCACAACAGCCATGTACTTGATGGCTTGTAGGACACTAGGCAGTGAAGAGAGGAAGTACTTTTGTGGGTCTGATATGAAACTTGCATATTCAGGGTCATTTTCTTCTGGTATCAGCCTTCTCATTAGGGGTGGCCTGTTGGGCACATACCCTCCATAAGGGTACTGGCCAAAGTTGAGTGCAGCATGTTGTGCTGATGCTAGCCAAATTAGAGTGCTGAGGATAGAGACTAGGTCATCTGCTGAGGACAATGAGGGCCACCAGTTTTCGTGGCGGAGATCTGCGTGGCCTACATTGATGGACTCTGAGTACCAATTTTGTAGCTCTCTGTCGTTTCGTATCAGGCTCGAGTCTGGGTAGTAATGGTGCACATAGGTTCGAACCCAGTTCTCAATTGCACCCCAGATTAGCAAACCATCACTGCCATATGGGTAATCTTCGAGCACAAGTCTCACACCCTGGGGTTGTGTTGGGTCAGGCACTGCCATGCCCCTGCATCACAAAAATCATGCACCAAATAAGATTAGCCAGAGAACACAGAAAGACAACACATAAAATGGGAAAAAAATAAAAAATAAAGCTTTGGGGAAGGACTTCCTTGTCCCATGGCCTGACAAGTACCATCGAGTTAAAACATAACATGTATTAAAGAATCTTGCTAAGCTCTTGGTATCGTACCTTTGTACGAGATCTGCGGGAAGGCTTTCACGGTCAAAGCGCCAGTTTTCGTATGCAGAAGAACTAATTTCCATGGCATAGCGGCCGGGAGTGAAGCATGACTCAATAACACCATCAGCGTTGATTAAGATCTGGCGAGCCAATGGCCGGGAGTGAAGCATGACTCAATAACCCCATCAGCGTTGATTAAGATCTGGCGAGCCAATGCATTGATCTCTAGTGTATATCTCATGTGAGGATCCAAAAGCTTGTAGATTGGGTGCATTGCACTCAATTGTCTATGTGCTGCCAATATAAATGGTTCTAGGGTAGCATGGGTACGTAGCCTGCAACCAATGCAACAAAAATTCAGTATAATAAAAAAAACTTATATATTATACAAGAGTTAGGCAAGAACATCAACTCACACATAAGGCGGTTAACTAATATTATCGCGACAACTTTACTTACCAATGGTGTACGAGTTGGTGGACCCCGGCATCGTTGGCGCAGACATGGGCCTTAGCAAGCTGCCACATCCAATTGGAAGTAGCATCAGTTGCAGGTGTCAAAACACGCTTTGATCTCGAACTTGGTCCTGAATTTGGGAGGCTAAGCTCTATGGCAATGGGCTTAAGAGCTCCGGTTGGTGTCAAGAAATAAAGGGTACGAGTTGCATATGCTTTTCTCCCATCCAGAGCATTAATTCGATCAAGAAATGGAAGGTAAACGTCATGGTAATCCACTATGTACAACTTGTTCTCATCCAATGCCTGCACAAAATATAAAACCAAAATGAGAAACGCAAGAAAACACAATTGAAGAAAAGAATTGTTATTCGCATTCTCAGTTTAACATAAAAAAAAATAATTTTTATTATTTTATTATTTTCCAAGTGGAGTAGATTTACAAACTCGAAGTCTGAACAGCAGTTCTTAGAAAACATCAAAAGTATTAAAATAGAAAATGGTATAATTGGTGTTACCTGTTGCACAGTCATGCCATGGATATTAGGTGTAATATGCTCTTCTTTGAGTGCAGACTCTAAAGGCCCATAGATTTCAGGATCAAGTTTGCTCACTGGTGGGAAAACTTTGAGCCTCTCAATGCTCGATGGATTAACCCCTGCCACTGCTTGACGGGCAAATTCGTCATCTCTCAACCAAGCTAGCTTGTCCTCTGCACATGGAATCAGATCTTAGTTAATCAAAAACCTAATCAATGATTTAAATTAAATAATGACTGCGCACTGCATGTATTTTTTATATGCATAGGGATAGTGGGCACATGGAGGGATTATAATTTTTATAATAATGTATAGTGATTAATTAAAAACATGATGAAACTCACTGCTTAGAATCTTGGGCGTGTCATATTTGAGAATGCCCTGGTTATAGTCTTGGAACTTGCTGACCATATTTGGCAATGGAAGTTTCTTTAGGAGCTCATCTTGCAGCCCCAATTTAAGGAGGATTCCTTCACTGTAGAGGCTGTCGATGTCGCCGAATACCCGGAAATCTTTGTCACCCTTGAAACTAGACATCAAGGAAGGGATCAAGTTATGAAGAACACCCTTGAGCCTCCCAAAAGAAAATGTGTCCATTTTTGACTCCTCAAACTGTTCATCTCTAGGAACATACATTGGTAGTGGCTTCTCAACCCTGCTCTCTGCTGACATATCTGTGCCACAAACAAGGCAGAATAAAAATTAGTTACATATTACAATAGTATATTTTCAGACCGTCTGACAAGAGAACATTTACGTGTTAAAATATTTGAGCGTAATTTACCAGTATCAGTTGGGAGGCGACCAGTGCGACATCTTCTTGGATAGGGAAATTTTTGACCACCAACTGTAGGCCTAGCTAAGTCAGTTCCCTTATCAGGGTTTCCCAAATCATTATACAAAGCATAGTCATAGATCCTATCAGATAATTTTCTGACTCCACTTCCATCACCCCTCAAATTCTTCAGCTCTTTCTGTCTCAGTTCTTTGAGCCCCTCAGGAGTCTGGTTTGGCAAATATGGCTGCTCAAAACAAAAAATTACAAAAAATCAATATTTATTTAAACATGCTGCCAAAAATATTAGTTCTGTAATATACAAGTATAAAACAAAAGGACGGAATGATATCATGGACCATGGTAGTCGGTAGCCTTTAATTATGGGGCCCAATGGCCCATGACCTAAACCAATTAATGAGTGGCTCATCAAGGGAGAACACAGACAGAAACTGAGTTCATGAAAGAAGGGACCAGGCAACTAAGTTAATAATAACAATAATATTAAGCTGCTAGCCATGAACCATTCAACTTTTCTGACGTACCAACTTAATTATTAGTCACTTGCAGATATTCAAAACCTAATAAATTAGAAGGTTTGACTTTCCCATCTAGGCAAACCATGATCAATGGAAAATGGAAAAAATGAAATCTAATCTACCTTGTTGAAGAAGACTATTCTTTTCCCAGGGTGATCTTTCTTAGATTGCATCCAGGAATTAACTGGGAAATGTAATGGACCGCAGGCGAAACCTTCAAGGGTTATAGTTTCCAAAAAGAACTCTTTTTGATGCTTGTTTGTAACCGTGATTGCTCCTGGGATACCAAAATTTGAGTCCACCATAAACTCAGCTGTGTAATTAACCCTCTCTGCTTTGAGATTAGATTTCTTTGACCAGTCCTTGAGCACACCTTCACTGCTTTTCTTGGGTGCCTTGGTTCCTATAAAAATTTGAGGAAGAACCAAATTAGCAACAATTAAAAAAAAAAGTATTAAAATTCTCAGTTGGGTCCAAAATATTAGCAAAGTATTCCCAAATAATAGAAAGTTGCTTACTTGGGTCTATTTCAGTGCTGATGAGCTCCAAAGCAATATTTCTACCAATTTTGTCTGTGAGAGCATCTAAGTGTTTGGAGATGGTCTCTTTCAAGTCCTCCTTGATCTTGTTCCTCACAGTCACAACAGCTCTCACCTTGAACTTGACAGGCTTCTCTGCAGAAAAAACAGGCACAATCTTCACCAAATCTTCACTGATGGCAGCCACAGTACCCCTGTTAGCCTTCCTCAAATGCTCCCTCCTCCTCTGTGAAGGAACCAAACTTGGTCTGACCAAAAACTGGTTCTGATTTAAAAACAATTTAGATGATGATGAAACAAATTTAGACTTGTCCATCAAAGAAGTACCCATGATTTGTTTAGTCAGTGCCATCTTTTCTGCCTTAATTCTCTGCACAAACAGAGTCACTCTGAAACTCAATTTGTTCAGAAAGTTTGAGTCTTTTTGCTTTGTGGTTTGTGCAGAGAAAGAAAAAAAGAAAGAAAGAATGGTTGTTGTAAAAGAAGTGAGTGCAGAATATGCAGAATATGATGAGTTGGTGTCTGTGCTTTGTAGTGTATATATATACAAAAGAGAAAATGAGCATGGCAGAGGAAAAGTTGGGGTCCTGTTGATCTCACCGTCCACACGTTTTTTAGAAATTGTGCTTGTGAAAAACACTTGGGTTTTACTTTTTAATGTTGGCTTTGTTTGTTTTTTGTATTTTTCGTTTCGGGAAACATATTTTTCATTTGGGACTTTGGAGAAGTTCAAAGGGAGGTCCCGAGTCAAAGCGAGTTTGTGAGTTTCCGAGTAAATACGCGGTGTGGGGGAAGGCAAAGGGAAACTGGGATATGTTGAGTGCAAAGGACATGTGTCCCCTTGTCTTCTCCAAAAATGGCAACTGTGTCCCTGTTCATTGGAAAGTTTCATGAGTGAGAAGTTGAATCGTGTAAAAGCAATCCACTTTACTAGTCTATGGTCCATAATCCATGGTTGATTTGACCAAATTTGAAGTCTTTGAAAAATATTTTAAATTAACGTTTCATTCTTTCATTGAAGTTTGCTTCTTGTTTAAAATTTCCACAAAACAAAAGGTTTTTTTGGGTATATCTAGTGACATTTTAGTACCTTGTAAATGATATGAACGAAAGCACGGCCTCAATTGAACGAAAGTGATTGAGGGCACTACCTAGTGTCATAGTCTCCTAAAGAAAAACGACACATTGCATTCATAATTTAAGCTTAATGATTGTCAATCATAATGACTTATACAAACAAAAAAAACTACATAGGATTAATAGAAATAAGGAAGCACAATAACCACAATGAACTCCTCCGTATTTGGATTAACCCATTTAATGAGCTTTGATAACTGAAGTTGAAGAAACTGTTGGAGAGAGATTTTCTGATGTGACTCACCTATTTTAGAATTCCAAAAATATTGAAAAAGCTGTTAGAGATGCTCTAATAATCCAATGAATTCAAAGCAATGAGCATCACCTTGAAATGGTAATGACCATATTTAATTAGTAGCACAAAAATTTGATACAAATACGTAAGATAGTATAGGTATGTAGATATTATCCAACATATGGTATGGGGATCCAACGAAAAACAATATTGAATTGAAGTTTGCACTTTCAATTTAATGAGTGGATGGGATTTGTGAATAAGATGTGCTAGTGGGGATATGGACCACAGTTCCACTCAAACCCAAGCCATGTCAACTTTTGGGTGGTTCCATGGTGATGGGTGTTATTACTGTTTTGGACTGCCACTCTAGCTACCCAGAAACTGCTAAAGAGAATGAGCCTCAATTGACCATGACTGCATTGACCACCATGACATTTCCAAGTGGAATAGAGGAGCACTTTGGTCACTTGGCTTCAATATTTTAAGCCCCAATATCAAATGAGGGATAAGTTTTAGTCATCAACTTCTTATTATGAATAGTCATCATTCATCTTTTAAGTTAGACATCAATATCCATATTATATCTTGATTGCACGTGAAATGTAGTCATTTTGCTAGTCTAGTCCAATCTTATCTAGTTTTCCCTAACAAACGAGTCCTTAAGGATTGGGAAAAATAAAATCATAATTTGGGAAGCTGCCATAAGTGGAGTGTTTTTTAAAATCTTTTTCTTTTGGTTACCAAATATAGGTTCATCTGTCTATACACGCATGCAAACAATCACATCGATCGTGTTTAGGATGATAATGCGTCATTATCTTAATGTTAATGATGCGCTAATATGCATCCCAAAGTTAATCCTCATTTGTTTAAGTTTTGATTAAATTAATTAGCCACGGACAGGGACATATATGTATTGCCACTAAAAGTGCATGGCCAGTGGGGGGTATCAAATTAGTGGGTTGTAATGGAAATTGGCAAATTTATATCGTGCTGCAATTGTGACATAATAATTTATATACAGGTCACTATGCCGCCGGTTTGGCACCTATTCCCAACTCGAACCTTCTTCCTATCTACTGTTCTCAAAAGAGAACGGGTCTAATCTAATAGCATGAAATACATGGCAGCCCAATTGACTGAAATTCCAAATTATCTTCCTACTTATGAGACGTGCATTGATTTTAAGGATGGTTTTAATTTTCTGAAAAACTTTAGTAGATGGCTGCATATTCGTTTTGACTTGAGGCTGCAGATATCTCTTTAATTATTGGGAACAATTCTAAATTACAATTAAATTTCTATAGATATTGATATAAAGTATATACATTGATCCCACAGCTTTCCAATCCACTAGCAGTCTAATAATTCCTACGTCTATGATGACTTATTGTGAATCTCTTGAGATCTTTTTCCTCCTTTGTTAGTACAAAATGTTTCGCCTTTTCAAACCACTTTTCCAGGAGAGCAAGTAAAGCTATAAACTTATATCATTGTAAGCATACACTATTGCATAATTTTTTATTTTTTTATTTTTATAAAAGCAATAATCTATTTTAAGGGCATTTTCATCGGTTGAGACTGTCAGAGCAAAAGGCCCCCTGGCAAATGGTGGGCTCCACCAAGACTAGGCAGGCCCGAAGGCAAGAACAACTCGAGCAGTTGCATGGGGGCTCTGATGTCAGCGCCGACGTCGGCAAATGGGGTGGAAAAGCAAAAAAAAAATTATTAGAGCATGTACTATTCATGTGAATAGTAACCACCCTTACTTGCCCTTTTCCTTTGCCAGCCATGGCAAATAGGTGGAAGTGCTCTAAACTAATATAAATTACCTAAAGGATGACTAAGAACGCCTAGAGTGGGGTGAATAGGCCAATTTGAAATTATAATCAATAAATAAAAATAAAATTCAGTAGCATGACTGATATGACTTATCAATCCTAAAACGTGCGTAGCATAAAATAAAGGAACACACGGAGAATTATTTTGCATTGTAAAACCCCACCTCTGGGAAAATCCATGAAACTCCTCAATCCAAAATAAAACCACTATAGAACGATGATTACAAGAAGTACTCACACACTTATCCTAGACACAATTTAGATAATGTTTATCGACTTCTTCGTAACTCAACTTCTGTCATAGGATGATCTTTCGACAATCCTTATGTTGAATGCAATATTGGTCACAATTGCTTCAAGCTCGCCAGAGTTCTTCCAACTCTCATTATGTTGAATCCAATACTGGTCAAGATCGATTCAAACTCATCAGAGAAAAACCGCCACAACAGTCTTGGTGCCCTTAACCGTATGAGTCACCGAACATCCAAATGAATGCAATATGAATGATAAAAGTGTTTGATAAATCACCAAGTAAACATGGAACACTTGATAATTTATCTTAAATAAAAACTCAGCTTTCTAAAGTTTATGGACTGAAAATATGATCGTGAAAGCTCTACAAAGAAAGAAGATAAAGGTCTAGTTTTATATCAGTTTTTCTTCATAAGAAGGAAAACCCACGTTTAAATCAAAATCTCCACGTTTGAACCTTCGGTCCCCAAGCCCACGTTCGAATGGGCTGCACCACACACAAAGGTGTGTAAATAAACTCCATGGGGAGAGCTTTCCCTTCACCCATGCCCGGCTCGGAGAGGTGACTCCTTTGCCACCTTTTTCTCACCCAAAAAATCAAAATCTCCACGTTTGAACTTTTGACAAAAATCACAAAGATAGTTGTCCTATTTTAGAGTTGAGAAAAGTGAAGCCAACCAATAGGAAAATAAAAAGGGAATCAAGAAAGTAAGATATTGATAATCACACAATTAAAAACTGATTTTTACTCAGCACGATCTTTTCCAATTACCAACGTGATTTTCAATCAAAAATATGTGAGAGGCAAGAAGAATTTAATAATAAAAGAAAACAAGGAATAAATAAAGGATATTGAAAAATATATCTAAATGAGATGCACTCGTAAAGAGATTCTAATTGATTAGAATCAAGGAAGATCAAAGAAATAAAATTATATTAGATTCCAAAAAATGTTCCTATTATGAGTGCATGAAAAATGACATGTCTTACCCTTCAGATCAAATGTCTCATACGTGTTAAATCACAATTTTGGAATTCGAGGATTGCTGAGCTGTTTCAATCATGTAGTTTTTGGAAATCAGAGACATCAATTTTGTTTCAACTCTCTAGCTAAATGACACTTCCAAATCTATATTAAGTTCTAGGAAATGCCAACACAATTTCATACTAACATCTTCCCATTCAGAAATTTCAATTTTCACATGTCAACAAATTAAAGGACCAAAATGTAGGCCAAAACAGACGAATTGGACTAAACCTATTTTTTGGTGACCAAACCCCTCTTTGAGAGAAAAAACACTGAACAATGCCGCACTGGGGGAGGAGGTCTTGGTTCCTCCTCCCCTCTCCTCACTTCCTTCCCTGGTTTCTCTTCCTACAAGTCCCTGCTTTCCTCTCTCCTCTATGAGAGTTTCCTCTCTTCCTTGTGAGAGTTCATCCTCTCCACTGTGAGAGTTTTTTACTTTTGCTGTTTGTTTGTGTTTCTTTTCTTCTCATCTTTTCCTCCTCCCCTACTTGTGAGTCGTCAGCTCCTCCCACTCCCTATGGGTGCATTTTCTTGGAGTTATGTCTCAAATCTCTTTTTTTTTTTAATCCCCTCTACAGTTCTCTCTCCTTTGGCCAATGGATACCCTTCATTGTTGGTTCTCAATCACCACCCTTTGCTCCTCGGGGCGGGTACAACTTATGTCGATCTCTTTTGGTGGCAGTATCTATATGTGGTGTGGGGATGCGTTTAAAACTCTTGTCCCTTGGATTATAGGAGCATGTTTTTTGCGGGTGGCTAGTTACCCCCCATCTTCCACTTGGATCTTTGGTATGTGTTGTTACCAGTTACTCATTCTCGATGACTGCGAATTTGCGATGGTGTTGTGGCTGGTGGTCTCTGGTTGGCGCAGCTGTGGTTTATGTTCAAATCTATGATTTTCTGTTTTTTCAATTATGTCTTTTGTTTTTGAGCCTTCACTTTGTCTGTTATGTACTTTACTATTTGGCCCTTTGTTTTGCTAATGTTCAATTTTTCTTTAGCTTGTGGTTCTCAACCTTTTGTAATACTTTTCAATTTATTTGAATAGAATTACATTGAAGAAAAAAAAAAACCACAGCCGAATTGGGTCATAGAATTGTAGAGTAGTAAACCGTGGATTTCATTTCACACACTTTGAGATTGAGTGTCATAGCTAGCGATTGACCACAGACCACTCCCATTGAAGTTTGACTACGACTAAAATGAGAAGGCCAAAATAGAAAAGGAACCAAAATAA